GGGCCCGCCGAGCCCGCTCAGGCAGCGCCGGGACCCGGCCGCGCTCGCCCCATGCGGGCTGCGATGGCGGCGGCTCCCCGCACCCCCGCGCCGCCTCGCTCGGCCCGGCTCCCCGCACGGCCGCCGCGGGCTGTGGGAAGCCCGCCCTCCCTCTCCCTCGCCCGGCCGCCTCTTCCGGGGCAGCGCCGCCGCCATCTTTAGTGCGGGCAGCGGCTGGCGGAGGCGGGGCGCCGCCATCTCCGCGCCGGGCTGGCGGCTGCGCCCGGTCCGCCGTGCTCGGGGACGCGCCTCGCCTGCGAGCGGGATGGCAAAACTTGCTGCCTGGTTGGTTCTGCTGTTAGGAGAAACGTAGGGAGGCAATCACCAGTTATCCTGCTCAGAGGGTGTAAAGTCAAGCCGTCCAAACGGAGATTGTTACAAGCACCAAGACCAAAACCGATCAGCTCACGCTTATTCCGTCAGGCTGCCAGCGCTAGTGCAGCCTTTCTCTGCTTGGCCGAGAGAAAAGTCATTTCTGAAGCGGGTAAAGCCAGCCCGTTTGTGAGTTACGGTCATTACTCAGACCACGTGCCTAGGGCTATATCTATCACATATCTCAGCTTAAAGGATGCCACGTTCCTGCGAACTTCCCAGAGCCGGCTCTGCCACAGAGCGGCGTGCTGCACACCGCTCTCACACCGTGACTTCTATCGGGACAAGTTTTGCTGGGGATGGAGCTTCTCCCGGCTGGCTGGTGCCCTCTAGTGCGAGATGCAAGTAATTCATTTCAAACCTAACGCCCGACCTTAGGCTGAGGTTGTTTTTTTGTTTGTTTGTTTGTTTGTTTGTTTACCTTAATTCACTCAGCACGCGAAGAACAGGAGCATAGAACAAACCATGGCCTCGGTTAGTGAGTTTATGGTTCTGCTCCACACCCCATGCGATCTGATCATCCTTCCCTCCTTCTCTCTCCAGCCCACGGGCAGGGTCTTTGGGCAAGCACCTTCCAGGCAGTCTCTTGCAGCACACCTGTAATATGGGAAACAACCATTATACATAGTGCCCTGTATGGGAACCTACAGAGGACACAAAGAAGCAAAAATGCAAGGGAGAAGATGTTCTGAATTAGCCCATTTACATCCCTCCTTGTCAGCACACACAGTCTCAGCTAACACAGCCCAGTGAGGACTGCCTGTTACACCGACAGCTGCAGTGTCACTTACAGAGACACATCACCACTGCACAGACATAAAATCCTCCACTCCTGCGTTTTTACAAGAATCGCTGGTCTCAACAGAAGCAGAACTTCACCTGTGCCAGATGATAAACTGTTTTGCTTCCTCCATGCACGGGCGTTTTTCTTTTTTCACAGCGCTGCACTTGCAATACCAGAGATTATCGTAAGGTGGCACTGACAACTGCGTGACCAAATGTGATAAGGACGTACTGTTCAAGATGTCATTTAACTTCAGTTTACACTCGCTGCTAATTATAACTTGTGGTCAGTTTCACTGCTCTGGTCGCCTCTCCCAGTTGTAGCTTAATGGTTCAAAGTGACCAAAATCTTGCCTTGGCCCTTGTACAAACAGCACAGGGAGAGCACAGAGGTGCCATGGCAAAGCACCCTGCTGCAAGTACATCCTAATTTATCATTTTGTTAATTCTGGAAAAACGTCCAAAACTTTGTACTGCTCTTGCAGATTTCTTCCAAATCTTGCAGTCTGGATAGGCATGCTTAGCATTTCTTCTGGTCAGTGCCATTTCTGCTGAATACCAAGATCTACCCACATTCAAAGACTAAAGTTCTAAAACCCAGCATATTTTTAATCACTTGTGTGCTAAAAACAAACAAAAAAGCAAACAAAAAAACAACAAAAAAATAATAACACCTGTGGTTTTTCCAAATAGAATTTACACAGGTTCTCTATAATTCTCCTGTTAGTTGGTCGGGACTTTTTTCCTGATGTAAATCATACCTTCGAATGAGCTTAACCTAAAATTAGACCTGTGTCCTCCTCTGGTAGCCAGTGCAGAGAAAATAAGAAAGGACTGTTCCTGCTTGCTAAAGGAACTGCATCCTCTACAGAGTCATGGAGGAATACCATAAATCCTGGAAAGACAGAAGTATCACCCGTCTTCCTTGCACAAGGAGTGCTGTGTTTCCTAAGCATTGCTGAACTGGGAAAGCTGCTGACTAATGAGAAAATGACTAATACTGCTTCACATCCACATTGGTTCATTGTGCAATCAATGCTTATTAGGGTTAGATTCTTTCTTCAGGCAGCAGAGATTAGAGTTTATTAATAGTCTGAAATATATTTTATGTTTTCTGGGCTCTTCTGCATAACGAATATGAAAGAACTTCCCATGCTTACCATGAATAGAAGATATCTTGCCCACTACAGCTCTAGAGTGCCATAACACAAGAACATGAAAAGGAATATAGCTAAATGAACAGCCATTCTTCTACAGTACACTGGATGCATCACTATATTCTCCTGATCATACATGAGAATAGCCAAGAAGGTCAGGTGAATGTAATACGAACTTGCTTCAGTCTCTAGAGTATTTCACACTGTTTGAGAGGAAGTCCTGAATGAAACTCTACAGGTATCTCTGTATTACTGGGTCTGTGGTTTGTAGGAAGTTAACATATGAAGCTCTGTGCTGTTTGACTTGCAGGATCACTGACACTTGCTTTTAGTGGTTATTCATCATTCCTTCTGTTGCCTTAATGAGTCAAAACCTTTATTTTTGTGTGCTTTTCAGTCACTGTCAATCATAAAAATGTCAAAGAGTACCAGTCCCAAGACAGATCCCTGTGGAACACCTCTGAACATTGGCCTCCACCTGGTCAGAGAGCCATTGACCACAGCTCTCTGGCTGCTACCTTCCACTCAATCCCTTATCCACCAAATAGTTCACCCTTCAGATCCATCTCTCTCCAATTTAGAGGTAAAGATGTGGTGGGGAACCATGTCAAAGGCCTTGCACAATTCCAGGTAGATGACATCTGTTGCATTCCCTTTGTCCAGTGATGCTTGTCACTCCATAATTCCCTTCCTCCTCCTCTCTACCAATCATTGTGCTCTGCTGCAATGCAGAGTAGTTCAACTATAATTCAAAAGCCCAGCCATAAGCATCAGAGCCACAGATGGCAGCAGTTCATGCTGCCTCAAATGCTTCCCTCCCCACCCACAACCCACTTGCATCCTTCACAGTCACATTTGACACCATTTCCAGTTGCACTAAGTATGACTTTGCATTGAGTCATGCTGTTGTCTCCAACATTACATCACCTGGCACAATCCAGAGTCAGACACGCCAGAGACAAGGGGAGCACATCTATGGCTGTGGTTCAGGGCTTCCCAATCCCTTCATCTACTTCATGACCACCTTCAGCCTTTTTCTATCCTACCCTATGGCACAACATCGTGTTCCCGCCTTCCACTGTTCTGCAGATCACTGTGAGGATTCCTGTGCTCCATGTTTCTCAATCCTCTGAAAAGATAATACGTTTTTCTTTCAATAAATGGAACAGCTGCTGAATTAGTTCAGTTCTTCAGTCACTAGCCCCTTCTCCTAGAAGCCTTTTTGTGCTTTTCTTCCCTCCTACACATTTTTTTCTGCATGGTTTCTATGGCAACCTGTGTACCTCTCCATCTGCTGCAGATCCCTGTTACCATGTTTTCTTTCTTGTCATCTCTGCCAAATAACATTTCCAGGTGTGTCATGATAACAAGATTAGATTGGAAATCAAGCCAAAGCACTCAGTAGTTTTGGTAGTCAGACCTGCCATATGTAATCCCACTGCTCCATTGCCATATATGCTCTACCTATGGGAGACTGATACTGAGCTCTTTCAGTACCAGATGTCCCACATGTATCAGCATGCTCTAATCAATTCCATAGCCACTTCATAACATCCGGATTACATCCTTCCTTCTCATTGCAGCCCCTGCTGCTTACAGAGCAGGTATATTTGGATTCTGGAAAGCCCGTGTAGCTCTGTTGCCTGAGGAATGCTTTGAAGACAATTATCAACCAGGGCCGTTTTTCTTCCAGCAAATGCATTTTTCATTTCTGCTGTAATCGTATAATATTTTAGTTCTCCTGAAAACCTTCTCCATTAGGTTACAGAAAGCCCTACACTGTAGGGACTGTAAACAACTGACTCTCCTGTCCATTCTGCTTGAATGATGAAACCTGCCTGAAATTTGCTTAGATTCCTATAGGCCTAAAATGCAACTTCATTTTCTACTAAGTACTTTTGGAAAACTTATTTAAGTGTGGAAAAAAAAAAAAACACAACATTCCTGCTATATAATCCAATCAAAGCCTGCAGCAGAGAACTCAACTGAATAAAATGAATGGAGCAAAAACATCACTGTTGATTTGTTTCCTAGATCTCATGAGCTGGTAAAGTCAGACTGCAAGAAATCCATGTGGAAGCAGTAAAGCTGTAAGTAATTTGGACTGTGAGTTTTTACAGACAGAAACTGATATTATTTGTTTGTATGCAGCACCCTGGAGGAGCTGTGTTAAGATATTAGATGTGGCCTCAATATAAATGGCTGCTATTTAACACCTACAATTAACAGTAATTATGCATACAGTGAACTAGTGTTTATACATATATTTTTGCAAAACTTCAATATAGAGTATAATTCAGGAAAAACCTGTGTAAAAAAAATCCACTGGAAATCACATTGGCCTGTGTTATATTAGTAATGCTGATGCTAATGCTGCTCATCATTTGAAGGCGTGGGTTAGATGCGATGCTGGCAGTTTAGGTAGAGGCAGAATTTTAGCTATAGCTCTATGTCGTTATGAAAGATGTGAACTGCAATGCAGATAATGCAAGACATCTCAGAAATACACAGAAAGCGTAGGGAAAAGGGAAAAAATATGATATGCAGAAAAAGCTATCCTTCAAACATCAACAGTTAAAGGTGTAGCAGCAAAACTGCTCAAAATCAAAACAAAGCAGACCATGCACAGGGGTGGAAATCAAGATGAAAAAGGTTTTATCTGCATTGTTACAAAGAAAACAAAAGAAAGGATCACCAGCAATGGCAGTAGGGTAGATAGCTAGAAGCTAAAGAAGTATGTTGCTTCAGTTTCCATAAAGAAAATTATGCAACCCTGGAGGGCAGAGGCAACTCACTTAATGGGCTTAAGGGCACAGCTATGGAAATTACCATATGCAATACTTGAAAACTCTTCACCCTTCAGTTCTGAAGAATGAGTAATCTCCATAACCAAAATCTATGGGTTGGTCAGCACAAAATCTCTTGGCATTTTAGCACACAGGCCAGAGAGCAAATGAGTAATAAACAGCACAGGGAAGCAGGAAAAGGGCTAAAATGCAAGATAGGCATGTTACATGTAGATGAACCCAGTATCTTTCTTTGATAAGATAACTGCATTTGTGGACGAAGGAAAACTAGTAAAATCTTATCAACCTGGACTTTGGTAAAATATTTGATTTGGTATTACTAGAAAATGTATTAGCTAAACTCAAGAAGATAGGGATTAATGTAAACATGATAAAATGCTGAAGGAGTCTAGGACAGAGGTAAAAACTACTGATAGTGCTGATAGCAAAGAATGGGCCTGGAGGAATCCATACGAATGCTGTCATTAAATCAGTTTGGAGTAAAAAAATGACAAGCAGGATAATGAAATTTGCTAACAAGAAATCTGGGAGGTGTTCTCAATACAGAGGAAGCCTTACAGAGAGAATGGTTGTTATGCCCTGGTAACAGGCATGGGATGAATTGTAAACATATAAAACACAAGGACGTGCACCGATTAACTAATTACATTTCTGCTGTAAATTAAAATTCATTAGCTATGAACAACAGAAGAGGAAAAGCCACATAGCTGATACAATCATTAAAGAGGTAAATGCAATCTCATGTGTAGCTTAGCAAGTATTTCCGGGAACAACCATTAGATACAGACAAGGCACTGGGTAAAATTCCACTGAGAGTTTAGGGCATCGTTCAGGTTATCAGCATTTAGCAAGTCTGAATTCATGCTGGAACAGGTACAGAGAAGCAGCACCCAGATAATCTGAGAAATAACAAAGGAGATAAGAGAGCATGAGCTTGGCAGAACGAGTGCTGGGAAGTGCTGATTCTTCCTTGTGAATACATTTGGGGCAAGAGGCGGGCAGAGAGAGGAAGCCTCAATATGCAGTGCCCTCTAACTTGTTCTCAGTTCCCTTCCCACAGAGCAGCCAGCCCCCTATTCCTCCCTGCCCATCTCTTGCCTGCAAAGTTTGGCATTTATCAGTCACATTTTTATGAATGTCCAAAGCCCACCTTGTCCCCATGAAGAAAAGCACACCTGACTTAAAAGTTAAGAAAGCCTCTTGGCTCTCCTGGTTTTGTGGCAGTGACAATCAGCCTTTTTGTTTATTTGCAGCAGCTGTTTGGCTGATCAAAACCAGCTGGCTTTGTAAACCCAGGCTGTTGACATGTGCAGAACCTATTAGGTGCTGAAGCGGAACAGGTGAGCATGGGTGGGGTGGCCTTGAGAGGGCTGTCCTTATCCTCCCTGCTAACCAGACCCAGCTTTTATGTCTGTCACATTCTAATGACTCACACCTGAGCAAGTTCTCCTGCACTTATGTGAAAAACAAACACTGTGACTTTGTCAGAGAGAACAGGTTCTTCTCCTTTTCTGATAGAATTACAGTCATCAGCATCCACTGCTGCTATAAGCGGCTCCAGGGCTTTCAAATCCAAGAAAGGATAAGTTTCTCGTGGCTATTCTGTGTCCCCACTCAAAACCGCCACTGAAACAGCCCAGGCACCTGAACCTGCCACATAAAGCAGGCTGCAATAGCCACGTATTACTGCTTTCCACAGAGCCGTGATTGCACAAACTCAGAGGACAGCTCAACAGCAGTGCCAGCTCTCCAGTTAATGTCACGATGTACAGGCAAATGTGTGCATGCCCAGCCTCAGGCTGCTGCTCCCCATGGGTGTTCCCCGCATCCATCTGCCTGCTCGCCCTCTGCCAACCTCACCCCTGCCACCTTCTGTGCACCAACCAAATGGTCAGTACAAGGTCAGAGTGGAAGCTACAGGCACAGGACCCATTTGTAACTTAAAGTTTTCACTTCAATTTAGATTGCTGTTTGCAATACTCAAAAATTCTGTCTGCTAAGAACACCTTAAGGAAATTGACCCTTCAACGAGAAAGGTAGCGATAAGACAAGGAAGAGATAGTAGCTCCATAGATTGGGGGTTGGACTCGATGATCTCTAGATGTCCCTTCCAACCCCTACAATTCTGTGATTCTGTGATTTAGGTTAGAACTAAGGAGGAAATGCTTCATGCTGGGGGTACTGAGGCAGTGGCTGCCCAGAGAACTTATGAATGCCCCTTCCCTGGAGGTGTTCAAGTGCAGGCTAGGTGTGATCAGGTGGGGGTTGTTTCTTACCCATGGCAGGGGGATGGAACTGGATAATCCTTATGGTCCCTTTCAGTCCAAACCTATCTATGGTTACCTGATTGTTGCATGAATTAGGTCCAGAAGCCAATGCTTTGGTGAGTATGTCCTCACCTCAGGACCAGAGGAGTCAGCAGGACTGGGCAGCTGAAAAGTCTTGGGGTGCAGTAAAATGGTAAAAACCTCCAAAGGAGATTTTCTTCATAGTAAAAAAGAGAATAAAGAAAGCTAAGAGGCCCAGAGGAACTATGCAGCCAGGGAAAGCACAAAACATGGTAAACAAGCTGAGAGTGCAGGAAACGCTCCTAGAACCAGAGCTTGCGTGCCTTGGCTATACTCAAACTGTACAATTTACATCAGGCTCCCAGCTTAAGCTTCATCTTCAGGAGGCTGTTCTTCACATATTTCCTGGCATTTTATGTGAGCTCAGGATGCAGGTGAGCTGATGAAGCTGACAGCAGGTGGGCTGAGCATGTGCCTACCTCCAAAACTATCCCTACCCTTCCCAAAAACACTGGCAGCTGTCCTCAATCTATGAGTCACTGTGTCAATCTGCTTGTTGTGGAGCTGGGTGCTTCTGAGCTGGCCCCTGGGCAAGAATAGCACCTGCAGGCTGAGCCTCAGAGCCCAGCAGGAGAGAGCTGGTGGGATGTGGATGGGGGAGGCACAGGCAGAGAGAGGGCAGGGAAGCAGCTCCATAGCACAGAAGTGGGAGAGAAGGCTGCTCTGATGAGATGTGGAGGGCTGAGAGGTGACATATGGCAATTTGCAGGGAGTCATGGATGTCAGACCATATAGGGGAAAAGAAAGACACTGCTTTGTCCTGCCTTGCTTCCATTGACATAAGAAGCTGCAATACAGTCCATCGTTTCAGTTTATCAGTTGAACACGGCTCTTGCAATGCACTTATCCCCTTTCCCTGGTGTTGGAGAGACAGACCCCCATCTGCGGGATGATCCTAACCAGTGTCCATCTGGCTGGCAGGACAGGTGGCGCACAGAGCCAGCTCCGCAGACCCCCGCTGCCACCTCACCCCACCTCCTTCCCTCCCTTCCTCAATTCCCTCCCCCCCCGTCCCTCCCACGAGGTGAAGCTCGATCCGTTTCCAGCCCCGAGAGGAACCCCGCCGGGCCGGGCACAGGGCGCATCCCCGCGCTGGTGCCGCCTCCCCGGGGGCAGGACCGATTCGGGGCCACGGGCCCTCGCAGCCTGACGCCCGTTTCTCCCGCAGGCGCCGGGGGCCGGGCCGGAGGCGGTGCTGGTAACCGGGCCGAGCACAGCAGCATGTCGCCGCTCCGCGTCTGCATCGTGGGTTCGGGAAACTGGTGAGTGAAGGGAACCTTTTTCCTTCCTTGCTTCCTTCCTTCCTTCCTTCTCCCATTTTCTCTTTTTTTTGTTTTCTTTTTTCCTTTCTCGCTGCCCGTCCCTCCGCCTCCTTCAGGCGCATCACGGGATGCCGGGGGCCCGCACAGCGCCGTGCCGCTCTCCCCTGCCCAGCAGCGGGGCCGGGGTCCGCAACAGGTTCCGGCGGGGGTCGGGCGGCGGGGTGCGGGTCTCCATGGTGCTGAAAGCGGCAGCGCTCACCGCGCCGCTCCGCCGCCCCCGGCCGGGGCTTGTCCCGTGTTAACGCTCCGGGCACCGACTGGCTGCACCGGTCTGGCATCCCTGCTCTGTTAAAATAATAACCCAGAGGGAAGAGGAAATTCTGAAAGCAGCTGCTCTTAGCTCGGGGCTGGGGGGGTCTGTTTGTATTATAACCCAATTGGGAATTGTCAGACTGCTCGCATGCAGCAAATGCAAACAGAAGAAAGAAATGCAGAAGCCAACGAGAATTGGAAAAACATAAGGCTTCTACTTAAGTGCATGAACTCCAACACTGAAAGCCTGGCACAAGCGTAGTATGATCCCAGGGAGAATGAGAGCTGAGCTGAGCCAGTAGTTGTGTTTATTTGTGGCAGAGTCCGTGCTGTTCAAATATCAGCCTAAAGTAGTTAGCAGAGCAGCAGCACTGCTCCTATTCCTTTGAAAGAACCAGGACTTGGGGTTCGTTTACCAGCACAACATACTGGCACTCTTCACTTTTATCGTTTTTGGCAGTTTTGCACTTCTTCTCAGAAAGAGTGGTGATGCAGTGGCACAGGTTGCCCACAGAGATGGTAGAGTCACCATCCCTGGAGGTGTTCAAGAATTGTGGAGAAGTGGCACTGAGGAACATCATTAGTGGGCATGGTGGGGATAGGTCAGGTTTGGACTGGATTATATTAGTGGTCTTTTCCAAACTTAAAGATTTTATATGCAGATATAGCCTTGTCAAAACATTGTGCTCAGCTCCACAGCTTATCCTTGCCCCTGCTTATAGGAATACATCTGCTCCCGCTTAGTCCTTTTTGCCTAGATGAAAGCACTGCTTGCAAAAGCTCCTGGGCACTGACAGCCTCCACTGAAATCAGTAATTCTTGTCTCAGTGGACTTTGCATCTTACTTGCAGTTTGTATAACCTAAGCACAAATAAAATGAACATGTATGTGCGTGTGCTTGGGATTAGCAAACAGGTAATTCTTTGGATTGTTTTTGTGCAAGAAGGGCAAGTTTCTGTAGAATTTTACATTCCTGACAGCTTACCAGAAGCAAACACACACACACACACACACACACACA